TTGTTCTTGAGAATAGAAGGAGTCTATGGAATGACTGAATTATCAGTCAGTCACGCATTTAGTGTTTCAGCAATACCGATACAATAACCTTAGCTTGGTCTGCTGTGTAACAGAGAGCAAAGGAATTTGTTAAACAGTTTTTTCTATCAGGAATATAACATCGGTAGAGTTTCATTCCTGCTAAGGTGCTGAAACATAACAGACAGAAAACCAGAGAATTTTTCATTCATATTTCCTAATAGCCAATGATTATTTTACCAGTTTCTATGGTACTATCACCATGGCAGCTAGCCATTTTAGTCACAGGCATTAAAACACGCTTCTGATCACATCATAGCAATAGCTTAGAAATATATTACATCGCCTAGTCATATGCAGCAGTAACAACTTGGTAAATGTCCACATGACAGAGGTCACTAATGGCATCAGCAGACATAAGGATTAGAAACATGATATTTCAAGCATCTAATTAAAGAACAAGTTCTCAGTGTTCCTTTCTCTAATTCTGAAAACAATAGTGGAAATATAACTGTTGTGACAAAAATGAGAATCAAAATTCTTTCACAGCTTGATCAGTTTCTACATGGGTTTTGCCCCTTCTTTAATTAACTGCATATGATTACTCAGCAGATTCTAAGAGAATGTGCAAGTGAGAAATAATTCACTGTAGAGCACTGAGTATCTGCGAAACACTGACAGTTAAAAATGGCTACTTCGCCCTTGTATTAAAAAAAAAACATACTTTGTTCTCTGTAGCAATTAAATGGTATTGAAGCATCACATACAAGATTGAAATCGTGATCAGAGAGCATAACTCAGACTGATGAAATTTTCAACATACGAGAAACATACTAATTTTACTAAATGTATCATGAAGTATTTGCAGATATGCTCATTCTGAAAAAAACTGGAAGTATTAAAAAATACTGTCAGCAATAGCAATCCTCCATTTCCTCTGTAAGTTACATAAGAAATTATATTTTCAAACTATCTTAGAGCAAAATCATACTCTTGTCCTGGGATTTCTGATTTTTTTTTTCCCAAATTAAACTGTAATTCAAAAGGCTGAGAGACTCTAAAATATTAAATGAATTTAGAAACCCTTTTAATAAAAGCTAATTAATCAAGTTCAACAATTTCTCTATTTCAAGCCTAAAGCTTTGCCAACAGTCCATCAAAGATATAATAAATAAGTACAGTTAATGTCAAGAATATTCTTCAGTAAAACACTACAGAAAATCACTATGACTAAAAATCACTGGTATAACTGTACCCTAAAATAGACAGCACTGACCTCAAGTAGAAGAACAAAAAAAATCTGAAGTAAACCGAAAATGAGACTTGAAGTACACCACGATTAGCTTTGTCTCTTCAAACTACTTAAAATCAGAAATATTCATCACAGAAGCAGTTAGGCTAGAACAATATAAAAACAGAACTGTGAGACAAGTCTTTGATATATCCAGGATCTCCATGCTTGTTAGATTTACAATTTTTCCTCCCTTGGGTCAGTAGTTGGAGAAGGACAGCTAAACAAAAAGACTAGAAAATATTTTATGGTGTAATAGTTACATTGTTACAATTACATGCATATATTAATTGATCTGCCTTTAAAATAAAACCAATTAATTGCTATCGTGGATTTGAGAACAGTTCTGCCATCTTATCTGGGGACACTCACACTCAACTTCCTCAGTTTTGTGTCATGCTTTGTCTTAGGAAACCAACAATAAAGAAATACAGGAAGATGCAGTGTAACATCTATGCAACATTTATATCACACTTGAACTGGTAAACTTCTACTCTTGCATAAGACTACACTGCTGAATTTGCAGACCATCTAAGCAGCCAGGTTCATCTCTCAGTTTTTTCATTACGGTAACACTGATTTATTTATTCAGAAGGTCCACATGCCATTTACCTCTATGCTTTGGTCTAAATATCTATGAATGCATTTGCACGGCTGTGCAGTGCGCATTCAACTACAAATGAACCAGTAGACTACTAAATCTCCAACAAGAAGCCTTTATTACTTCTTTCAATCCTCAATTTAATAACAGTTGCACTTAATATTGTAAGGACTTGCCATTTCCATAATTGAAAGTTTCTGTTTAATTTTTGTTTAATATGAGACCCAAAATATTTTATGACATTCAAGTCAAAAGGCAATTCAGATTTCATGATGTTTTGGGGAATGCACACTATATTAAACAGAAGGAAACTTCATTGAACACAGTAATACCTGAGGTCTAGACTATCTGTTGACAAGTATTCTGCTAGTTCCTTTAGTCCTCTCCATCTTTCAACTCCAACTTTCTCTCCAGCAATACATAACTACGTGGGAACATCTTGCCAGTGTTGATCTCCTATTAAGACTACAGAAGTTGCTGTGTCTAAAGGCAATAATGAGCTAAATAATACGCGACAACAAGATGATCTACATCTTTTTAAAGTTCTTATGTGACCATGCAGCAAATAAAAAACTTAATAAAATACCATTTTTTCCCCAAATAACACAGTTATGATATCATAAACTCATACAAGATTCTAAATGACATGAAAACACACTAATTAAATCTAAAACATATACTTTTAAATTAAAATTATATGTTCTACACACAGTACTATGGCTAATTAAAACAAAGATTCTCTATTTTTTTAATAAGTAACACGAAAGGGAACTATGGCGATGATTAGCTTTGGTAAGATCTGATTCAGTGTTCATACACCTGCATGTATACAGCTCTACAAAATTGCTGGCCTGAAGTCCAATTCACTGAAAGTCTCTTCAGTCACCGGCCTTTCTGCTGAGTCTGTCAATATGACACTAGGGGAGATGTGCCTGGAGCAATGATAGATGCAGACATAGGCTTCTTAAGAAAGGACTAAGTTACCTGCCCACCTGCTCACTCCACGCTTACCCAGAGTATGTAACGTCCAGCCAATATCATACTTACTTGATTTGTATTGGTAAACCAAGACTAAAATCTTCTAGAACCCATTTGCAAAAAAACTACTTTTCCCAAGAATAGATGCATTATGATTAAGCCATTGTTCAGTTATTTTTTGCACTATATGTATAGCAAATTATTAGTCTATTAGACCTGATTCCTACCCAGCCTTATACTCTTAACAGATAATATACATGAATTAAGCTTTCCTGAAGATGACTGAGCTTCTTGCAGACTTCAAACATAAAAACATAATGTCACAAAAGAGCAAGATTCACGAAAGTGTCATTTCTATTCCACGTCATACTATCATTTCTGCTGTGTGGGCATACACAGCCCACCCTGGTTCTCTCCTCCACACCACAACCAATATTACAGTGTTATCGAAAACATACAGTCTTGTAATAGAAAGTATCCCAGAGGAAGGTATGCATTGATATTCAGCTCTATTCCAGATTCAAGTGGGGAAACTAGCTTGCCCCTGTGTGAGCAGCACATACACACCTGAGCAAAATCTGGCCTTCATCCACAGAAGGGAGACCATTTCGTCAGTTCACACCAACAGCAGAAAACAGAGCCAGAACCAGCCTCAACAGATTACAAATAACAAAAAAACACTTTTCCTACCAACAGCACTTTCAATTCCAGAAACTTAATATACCTTGCTTTAAATCTGTGCCATAGCAACCTTTTTTAAAGTCAATGTCATCTGTAAGGACTGAGTTAAAATGTGGGCCAAATATACCAGACATTAGTTTCCTTTGGATATAGAGCTCAGAACACTGACTGTGTGCTATCCTAGATGTGATCCGAGTTGCGTATGTTGCATGCAGCAACATATTTTGCACTAGCCCGTTGCAAAATACTTGCCCTGATCATCAGTTTCAAGTATTTTTCTGAGACACTGAAGGTCAAATGAAAAGTGTGAAAGGTTTCTTTCTGTTTATATTAACTTTATATCTGTATGCTAGAAATTGAGGCACTATTCAGGCTTAGGGACAGTTTGTTAAAATGTGATGGTGTTTTAGTTGGTCAACTTAAAGAGGCATTGAAGGGACAACAGAAGAGACCATTCCCTCTTGCAATGTGGAGCTCTGTATGCCAACATAGCCATGAGTATCACTGTGTGTGCATGATACTGGCCAGTGATGAGGAACTTATTGTGGCAGAACAACCGCAGAAGTAGTCAACAATTTATTCTTTTCTTTTCAGCACTGGCTCACAAGGGGCTCTGCATCTTTATGTCAGATAGATACTTAACAAACCTCTAGAAAGAGCTTAGAACAGACATATTCCTACAACCTCCAGGGTAAGCGTAGGGAGCTTTTTAAATTCAGATTATGTAAAGTCGTGTGCCTCACTGCATTATGTTTTATATGCACATTATATCTCACTGCACTATATCGCATCCTGTGAACTTCAAATGATCGTCATTCACACAGACCCTGACAGATTCCCTTTTGTAGCTCTTTCAGAGAGAGAACAGATATCATATGTACATGTAATATTTACCGGAATGAGGTCAATCCCCCAAATGTCCTGATAGAGTCCAGGAACCACGAAAGGAGATACCACCTGATCAAACCGGCCTCTTGCCCGAGCAGCACCGGACCACCCGGCCAGGAGCAGGCTCCTTTTATCAGATAAAGCCGCAAAAGCAGGAGCGAAGCTAGGGCGAGAGTCTGCAATGCAGAAGCCCTTCCCGGAGCTCATCAATGAGCTGGGGGAAGACGGGGCGGGGGCAAAGCCGGCAGACCTGCCCGCATCCCCACCACGAAAACCCGCGGCACGGGGCGGGAGGTGTTCGTAAACGCCGGGCTTTGCCCTTACCGGCTACGGCCGAGGGCTTTGCCCTCCGGCTGTCCGCAGCTCCGCACAGCGGGAAGTTCTGCAGGCGGGGCGGAGCGGGCAGCCGCAGGCAAGGACAGCGCTGCGGGCCGGGCCCACCTGTGCCACCTGCCTGATCGGCACCGGCCCGGCCGCTGCGCTGGCCTGCCCCGGCCCCGCTCCCAGCCGGGGAGAGGAGAGGGAGGGAGAAGCAGCTCTTACCTGCTCCCGCTGCTCCTCCCGCAAGCCCTCACTAACCGAGCTCCATCTTCCCCCGGCCGGGGAGGGGGGAGGGGGGAGTCAACCCGGAGCTGCCGTCCCCCCCAGCTGCCGCCTTCCGTCACCGCTGTCCCCCCCGCCCGCGCTGCCCGGCGGAGCGGCCGCCTCTCGCCCGCCCTGCAGCCGGCACCGGGAGACGGCGAGCGAGACCCACCTCCCGCCGCCGCCTCCTTCCCATGAAGTCACCGGCCGCAGGGCCCTCCCCCCGGCTGCCCGCAGCGGCCCGGAGAGCCGCGCTCCGCCCCGCCCCGCGCCGCGCCGCGCCGCGCCGCGCCCGCCCCCGCGGCACCGGGCCCCGCCGCGCCGAGCCCCCCGGCACAGTCGCGGCCCGGAGTCGCCCGCCCCCCTCGCCCGCCCTTTTTCCCAGCTCGGCCTCGCTGTCTCCAGCCGGAGAAGGTGACGGGAGAAGCAGGGGGCAGCGCAGGGCCCGGGAAGAGCGGCCGCAGCCGCCCCTGCAACGCGAGCGCTCCTCCGCCCCTGGTGGGCCCACGGACGGGAGGTGGGAGTTGCTTCCTTTCCGTATCCATCCTAGCGCTGGGAACGACCATGCCTAGTTCTGCCCTCTGCAAGGAGGGTATGTTATTCTAAATTACTGCTTTTCACGCCTTCTATCTTGATACTTGCCGTTATTTGGTCAAGGGATGACAGTAAAGTTTACTTCAGCCTACAGCAACTTCTCAGATAACCTGGTTCCAGCCACCTCGGTACACACACGGGTGTATTCTCTCTCACTTACTTAGAACTACCTCTCCCACACCAAAGCAGTCTTTCACTTCCACTCTTCCAGTAACACTAGATCTGAAAAGGAAAGTCACTGAGGAATACACCTCTAGAACTGAGCATTCCCCTTTTCCACTTATCATGATGCAAAAATAGAAACATGCAAGACCAAGATCTAGGCAAAATATGTGGGATAGAAGGGGAAAAACAAAACAAAACAAAACAAAACAAACCCCATATTTACAGGAGTATCTATTCAATAAAAGCCTCCTTATCTAGAAACACGGATAATTCTCACCTGAAATCAGCCTACTAAAGATGACACGCAATCAGTGACAGGCATAGCAACATTAAATCTTTAACCAGATGTAAACAAAGTTTTGTAATATGTTTTGCACCAACACAGCACATCTGGAGAAGTACCTCTGGTGGCATGTGAGGACAGTTTTGCAGATATGCATTACATATCATGAAATTATATGAAAAACAGATCAGTTACTTACATTCTAGTTCTCTGTTAGAACCCCAACACCAGTATAAAATATTGTTGAAATCCCCAAAACAATTTCACCTTACCTTTGAAAAATACTTCCTTTTGCAGCTAATGAGGAGAATAGAAATTAAAGCATTTGAAAATGTTCCCAACTGTTCCATATATAGCCTTTTCCTGCAAATTCAATGAGCTACTAGCTTTTGGCATGCAAACCATAACAGGCAAAAACCACAACAGTTTTTTCCAATACTGGTTTAGGCCTGCATAAAATGAACTGTCATTGTTTGCCCCTCCTGTCCTCTATTCTCCTTAAAGAAACTCTTTATGCTCATGATTGAAAATCACATAGGCAAGAAAAGTTCTTTGCTGTGCTCTCAAGTTCCTCCCAAAAGCAAAAAGTCATGAGCAGAACAGTTCCTTGGTTTCTTCACCAATGCAAAGTCCAGCATTCTTTAAATGTAGCAAAGCAATATAAACTGTGAAATGTATGGATAACACACTCAGAACCATAACTGCAAAAAGAGAAACTTTTTTTCTTCCTTAATACAATTGTCTATACAGATTTTCCTACAGGTGATTCCCAGACAGTGAGAGTTCTATAAAAGATAGAACAATTTGGCAGAGTTTTGCCAAAAGAGCTCTAGTCCATTCACCCTGCAAAGGAAAGCCATTTGTCAATATGTGAAGAGACCCTCAGGTTGCTACTCTAGAGCTCTCAGGACTGAAGATACTCTAAAAGTAGTCACAGAAGCTATATAGGCTCAGGGATCAAACCACGGTTTAACCAGAAGTCTCTAAGTTGGCCAACTGGTGATATAGAATCAGAAATTTATTTATATGGCTGCTGCAAAAGAAGTGACCGGTTCTCTTTATTTCAGGCAAAGCCAGATATAATCTTAGCAAAAGTCTGAGGGGCTTAGCAAAGAAAAGGGTGCCTAGACCCATGCAGGCAGAGGCTCTCCTATTGAGGCTTGAAGTTTCTTCATTAATCTTTCCTTGCCACTAGCAAAACTTTCTTTTATGCTACCATTATGGGAAAATAAACATGTCTAACAGTCAAAGTCCTGGAGGAAGTGTGAAAACATAGAGACACTGGATCTAGGTGAAATGTTCGTATACTTTGGGGACATCATGTTCTGCCTCCATGGAAGTGGCAGTATCTCCAATAACAACAGTCTTAACAGATTCAAGAACCAAAATTCTTTAGCCCAAAGAGATGCAATGAATACTGCAATTTCTCATCTGAACATCTACCCCCTCTTTTAATTAGAATGCAGGTACGCAGTAGTCCACAAAGATCAGGAACCCCGAGACTGCAAAGTCATTCAGAGATCTTAAATTCCCAGGCTTCTAGAGAAGGGAAGCATGCCTATGCCTGACATTTCCCATAAAACGTATCTTTTCTGTGACCATACATGGACACATGGTGAAGAAACAGAAGAAAAGGAATATCTTCACAACTGATGTTCTACATCAGTCAGCATTACATGACTCTGTAAGTAAACAGGTTCCTGTCATGGTGAAAATGATCCGGGGTTTCTCCCTCTCTGTTCACATAAAGCACTACCACTGTATTGTCTCTCATCACCTGTCTTATGTTGCTCTGGGTCAGAGGCAGAACTGATCACAAACAAAGCAAATTGGTTTGAGCTCAAAACTATTCTGGTATGATCAAACTCATTTCTTCAGTACCACCGACCCAAAATATTGCCTTAGGTGTTCTTGCCCTCTGAGGATGGAAGCAGGTAATACTCTTGTCTTTATAGGCAGGTAAAAACAGAAGCAGAACATCTCTGCAAGTGTAGGGCAATAATTCTACTCATGTAATGCTGACAAAATGTCACAGTGGAACATGACCAGTATGAACACTTGTAGGTATTTGCTTGGAAAAAGACAAACTTTGGCCTTCACCTGCCAGTTAGGCAAAGGAGTGCTGTATTGATCTACTCAGCATTGAAATTACTTACAACGCTATCACAATCACATCTGATGTGACCAAGTATGGTTTTGCACACTTCAGAAATGTCTTCAAAAACCCTGTCTTTGGGGATGGTGTGAAAGAGAATGTATTCTTAATTATCCTGAGCCCCAGTTAAATGAAGGTGTAAGAAGGGTATATGAGCTGTTGCCCATAATCTGATAAAGAACAGAACCCTAAATAAGCTTGTTACGTCAGCTTGATCGCTTAAAAAACTCTGCTGTAATCAGAAGGCAGATGGCAAAGGCTTTTGTACTGTAGCAAGCATTCTAGGCATGACCTGTGAACTGGATGTGTGGAAATACCCACAGAGAGGGTTGAAAGGCACAGAGCAGTCTCATGGATCTAAGGTAAATTTACTGAAACTAGATTCCACACTCTCACCTTGCACACACATTAAAAGCTACACTAAAAGCTACTGCAATAAATAAGAATTTATAACACAAATCCACTCGTGGTAAAGAGGCAGAGATGAAGCATTAAGTAGCTTTTTATGGTTAGTAAATAAAAGGAAGAAAGCAAGAAGGAAGGCTGGCTCCTCGCTTCCCTTTTCTGTTATATCTAGGGAGGAAAGACAACACTGTAGAACAAGGGTTCATCTCCCCTGAAAGAGTTATACATATCAAAGGGAGTTTGTAAACTTATTAAATTCAAAAAGAAACATTTTGCATTCCAGCTGGGCAGAGTAATCTGTGCTCTTCAAGTAAAGAAATGGTATTCCTAATAATATAGATATTGATTTAAATTCTGTCAAAAGCAAGCATGCTGCAATAGTAATGGAATGGGGAGAAAACTCAGATACAGCTCTACAAAATGTGTACTACTAAAATATATATAAAGCTGATTTGAGTTCACAAGACCTTAGAAAGAGAACTGAACTTTCCAGGTATATACCAAAATTGAACACTTGGCTAAACAGAGACAGAGAGAAGAGCAAGAGCACTGTGATTTGGTTAGTTGTATCTAAGCAGAAAACAACTTCAGTGGGTACTGAACTTTGTAATCCAAAAATAAATGGTGAGGTATGATTGGCATCATTTTACACACTGGTAATAAAATACTACTAAAATCTCAACCTTGCATGGATACAAACATCCAAAGCAACGAGAAATCATTTCTCTTGCTGTTTTCTCTCTCTCATGGTAAGTTTATAGTAATTGCAGTTATGAAACTGACAGTCCCAAATATGTTCACTGACGTATACTTAAGTCACCATGAAGAGTTTGACTGCAACATTTGCTGACTACCCAAGTTAGCTTTAGTTTGGCTAACTGGTAGCCATAGCAGAACAGCAATATCCATACAGTGTTACTTAAATGCTTTGCTATACTTCTGAGGACCCTGGACTTTGAAGAGCTAGTATACAGAATTAGTTTCCTCCTAATAGATTTATGGAGTTTACACAGATGCACCATGTTGGTATAACATCCTCTAAAGCACAGAAACCACACATCCAATTTCCATTAACGTTAGGGCAGTAGAATTCCATTTTCTTTCATGGAAACAATATTTGGGTTGCACATTTAGTTTACTTTTCAGTTTCATTGTGGCTGGTGTTATGGGATAATAAAACAAGTTTACAATTCAAAAAAGTCATGTATTTACCATTGATCAAAATTACTGCTAATATTTTTGTTAACCATTAGTGATATGAAAAATTATATTTCTAACAGGCACACACACATACTAAAAATGATGGCAGTGCAGTAATTGAAGGAGAAATAGTTCAAAATGAGAAGACTCTATATAACAGTAAATTATTACAACACAAATGTGTTGACATTAATCACTGCAAATTATTTGAGAACATTTTATATATTCCAATTCACAAACTTAGATTTATTATGGAATGTATTGCAGTCATAAAATAAATAGTTGACAATTTATGAACCTGATATTTTTCACTTTTTCAAAGTTATCTTTTTACCTTTTTATAATGTATATATTTTAT